GCCATATGTAAGTTTACCTAATTAGTGAACCACTGGTTTATTCAATCAGGTGTGCTTTATGAAATATAGTGTGTTTATACAACAACCACACTGTTATTTCAGAGTGTTTGCCACATTGAGGATTCATCATTTCTCAAGTTTGCTGTTGTACTTTGTTAAAGACAAAGTTTCTGCAACTATTTCAGATGATTTATTCTACTGATTTTTGTACTTCGTTTGTTAAATGTGTGTTTACATAAAACCTCCAGCACAAAACCACCTGGTTCAGTAAATAATGGTTGGGTGGAAAAAAGCCAATACAGCAGTAAACTGTTGAATGCATATGCATGTATGTAGCTTAAAATTCATTCATAAAACAAACTTAAGAAACAAGATGATTAGAAATTGTTAATTTAAAAAGGGGAAAAGGATCATCAAAAAGTACAGAAACAAGGCAAAGGTTATATTTTCAAGCCTACAACTTGGGACTCTTAAAAAAAGTAAACAAACTAAGTTGGAAATAATGTCTACATTATACTCTCAAGTTAAAATCCCTAAAATTGATTAGTACTGTAGACATTTGCTTTTGTGGCTTCATCAGGCTAGTGCATACTGGCAAAACCGTGGTCTTGAATAAATGATGTATTTGTGAAACGTACAATTGTATCGATCTTACTCAATTTTGTAATCACCATTTTAATTGCTTAAAAAAAAGTTTCTACTGTAAAGATGATTGTCATATTAAATATTCAAATTTAATTATTGCTCTTTTAATGTATTTTTTAAAGCTACGTGTTACACAAAATATATTATCTGTCAATGAGTTTGGTTTCACTGATTGTGAAATATCTTGACAATATATATAGGTACTGGAGGTTCCTTTAACCTATGTAATATGTTTGATAACTTCACTAGTCACAGAATTTTGAACATTCCTTGTCATGAAGCTTAATGAAGTAATTCATCATTGTAGGTCTTCAACAGTTCCTGTAATAAAACCAACAATATTAACTTAGAAATCTTATTCAGGCCAAGTATTTTTTTCATATACAAACAACAGATTGAGAAATATAGGTTTAAAATAAAAATACTAACTATTAATAACAATCCTTTATTCTAGCTTACAATTTAGTTTCATCATTATTACATTCTCTCCTTATCTTTTAAAGTCTGTCATTTTTATACAAAATACTGACAGGAAACTGATATGAAAAAGTAACCCAAAAAACACTGGACTGATGCTGACATTTTGTAATAGAGTATTGCTCATTGATAAAATGGTGTTGGTCTCAGCATTTTCATAGAATCTAATAAAATAAAAATATTTTTGTTAATTTTTTATTGTATAAAGTAGCAATAGGAACCATTTTGAAGATGTCAAAAAGCATACTTGAAAAATGAGACTCAGTGTAATAATTCTAATCAAAAATGATCAAGTTCTCACTTCTCTGCATCCATCATGAAAAAGATGTTCACTTTACTGATATATGGGAGAAGATGTACTACTAGAGTTCTCTAATGGCTAAAATTCACAATATTAAGACTTGAGACTACCAAAAATTAGAACTTTAGGACAGTATGTGGTAGATGGTGGTAATAAAAACATCAAATTAATCAAGTTGAAACTTATTTTATCACATATAGCAATGGCTTAATGCATAAGATGTGACTATTGAATAAATTCAATGTGCTGAGTTTGTTTTCTATTTATTGTAAAAACTGAAAATCGGATTTGGGATTGGATTGATTTGAAATATTTAATCTTAAAAAAGAAATGAATCAAAGAGGTTGCTGTTTGAAGCTTTATGTTATTATTTCTTAATACTATGCTTTTTTACACCCATTGAAGAAGAAAAACAAAAGCATAAATATGGGACTTAAACTGTCCCAGTTTTAGGTTTTGACTCATATATTTTGTTAATTTATTTTAATTTTGTTTATAGTATTTGGCATGTTTCTATTCAGGTGTTATTCTCAAAGATGAAAATATGAGTCATTGACTGTAGAATCAGAATTATACTTCATACAGATGAAACATTATTGCCCTTTACAAAACTATCTTGTCAAGGTACAAGTTTTAAAAATGCATCTGTAGGGGAAAAAAGTCATTTTGAATGAAAACTTCAAGGATATAACTAGAGCTATTTCTCTAAGTAACTTAAAGTAGAATACTTTATATATATATATATATATGTATGTGTGTGTGTGTGTGTGTGTGTGTGTGTGTGTATATGTATGTATGTATGCTGAGTCTAATTAAAGATTTTACAAGTATTTCTCCTTTTTTCTAAAATCTAAAGACATTTGATATCCAATTGTTCATTCTTAGTTCTGTTGTTGCTAACTTCAAACTTCATTAATTTCATTACACTTATGACAATCTCTTGTGGGCAACAATGAATCTGTTGGTTGCTGAATTAAGCATTTCCAGACCAGGGGGGGGGTGCCAGTGACATCCTGTGATTTTTTTTCCTTCTCATGGTGGAAATACTTAACTAAATAGCAGGAAACTGAATAAAAACGTATTAAATAGTATCTAGTTTCAAATGTAGAAATAATTTGATTTACTTATTTTTATGTTGTGGAATGTCCAAAATTTTGTGAGAGAGAGACTGTTTTGAGAAAAACATTAAAGATACTTCTTTTCTTTTTGGAATTTCATTTTTTAATGTTAATCAGAAAGTTCCATTTTATATATACAATCAATTTCAACTTGAGTGATATTCATTCACATTTTGATAGTTCAGTTTGATGAAACTTACAGTTTTAAGTTGTAAAAACAGAAAAAAAAACCAGCTCATACTGACAGTGATTTATCAGTGACATATGTCCTGACTAATTAGGCTAGGTAACATTATTTTTGCCAACACTATTCTTGGTCAAGATCAAGTATGTAATAGATAGATTCTTTTTAATAAATAATAACTTCTTTACCTTGTTTGAAAATAATAAACTTAACAATAGTGTTCAATAAATAAGGATATGGGTTGCATTTGAATCATTGAAATATTTTGCTGTTACCTTCCGTATTCTCTAAACCTAACTAGGCTTACTTGATACCTTGTCGTAGAAGAAAGTTTCCACAGCTTTTAAACAAATTTAACACAACCATTTTCAGGAACAAAAAGACAATTTAAAGGAACTATAAAAAAATAATAATGGTTGTCATGAGACATTAGTATTAGGCCAATTATATTTTTAACACTACATTCTTTATCTTGTTCTATAGAGATTTTCAAGAATTAGAAGGATGTATAAAAATAGTATTTCAACCACACTACATCACATAAATTGCTAACAACATGTTTTGCTTAATCTAGAGCTTTGAAGAGAGTATATCAAGCTAGTACTGTTGATAGTAGATGCTGTTGAAGTAGAAGGCCTAAACTCTTCAAAATTTTTGTTAAGTAACTTGGAGTATTATATAGATAAAAAAAAAATGACAATGCAATAGAGATCTTGCTAATGAACTAGCTTTAAGTATAGGTTTATGGACTTCCAGGACAGTAAGATGTACATTAGCAGAAAGTGGCTTCACTGAATACGTAGCTGCTTAAAAACCATTGCTTCAGTAGGATAACTAAATCAAAAAGCTGAAATGTTCATCAGACTTCAAACAATGCTGTAAGTGGATGCTGTTTATAGATAAATTCAATTCTAATTGTTTCGCAAATTATAAAGAGTTTGATAGCAGGGAAACGTGCTGTGGCATAAATACAAGTGTGGCTGCATCTTGAGTAATGGTGTTAGAGATCTATATAATAATGATGGCACCCTGACTGCTGACAGATACAAGCTAGGAAGTCAACCAAACAACTTTATTGAATTGTGGGGAATAATACAGGATATTTAAAACAATATGTAGCAGTCATTCACTGATGAACTTATGGTAGTATAAAAACAAGATGTGCTACTCTATTTAAATCAAATACAAAAATATGAATGCATTCAGGGCTTGACTATTTGCCAATGTTACACTAGCCTGGTGAGGCTTGAAACATAATATTCATCATCTGTTTTATTTTTGAATTTTTATATGCTCGCTCATTTGATTTGTTGTTTCTCCATGGCAAAATGATGATATTAATTTCTCAAACTTATCATGTTCAAATTATTTCATAAAGCAAAAAAGGAAGTAATTTAACAGCCAATCAGAAAAATATAATAAATAAAAAAATTTTTGAAACTGTTGTGACATGTTTTAAAATGCATGCTCAGGTTAAGGCCTCAATTGTCTGAATGAAAATAGTTTTGTTAGAATTTCAATATCTAACTAATTTTTTAATACCAAAACAATAACATCATTTTTATTTTTTATTGTGGTCATTAAAAATTGTAATTTCCTAAAGACATGTTAGTTCAAGTTACTTCTCTAACATATAAAAGGCTTTTGCTGTGCCTAGTGGTCAGCAGTAGTAACATTTACTAACTTGAGTTGGAACTTATGATAAAATTGAATGTCGTGTATTATTTAGTAATTAGAAATTAATTGTAACTTTTACATCTTTTACAATAATTGTTGTGTTGTGCAATACTTCCAAATTCATTTTTTTGAGCAGACATACAATAAAATAAATATGTTTTGTATACATATTGTATTTTAGCAACAATGTTATGTGTGACAGCACCTGGGCTAGTTATCTATAGTAGTTACATGCCCAAATGCTTAAAATGTTAAATTTCTGTAATAATGCATTGTATTAATGATAAATTCACTATTTAGTTGCAATTACTCTTTGTTTGTGACTTCTGTTTGTGCGTTACCTGTGTATTTTCATGATTATCATCCATTACTGTATATTTTAGTTGAGAATATTCATATTAAATGTATTTGCATGTATTTTAAATTTTTCATGTTTGTTTTTACATAATTTATTAAAATGTTTAATTTAGAAAATTGTTCACGAAATTTAAGTAATTTTACCAGTAACTCGTTATTTATGATGCTGCACATAATTTTATTATGATATGAAATTTTATTTGTTAGCTTTTTATTATAATTTCTTACCTTTATTTTTCAGCGAGGCAAATAAATGTTGTAGAACCTAAGAAACTCGAGAACTCACATTTAAAGAATATCGCAAAAGGAAAAGTGAAGCAGGCTCAGAGGCTCAACAGACTTTCTCTTGTGAAACAAAAAATATTAAAAAATAAAAAGTTGAGTAAAACTAATATTGTTGAAAAAAAAATACCAACCTACAAATCTCCAAGAAAAGGAAAAAACTTAAAAATACAGCATAAACCTGGACAAGATGGTGTAGCTACCTGTATGAAAGCAAGAGTAAAAACAAACTTGAATAAAATCACAAATGGGGTGAAAAGACAGATAATAAGGAAACGTAAATCAAAGAGTTCTGTTGAAACTTCAGACAATGTGCAGATTGTGTCTTCAAGTAAACTGATTGAGAGTGTCTGTAAAACTAAACTTAGTGATTTGCCAAGGCTTGAAGAAGATTGTTTTTCTAAGCAGACTGAAGGAAGTGCTATTCATGAAATGAAAGAAAATGATTATTTTATTAAACCTGTTGGCAATGGGTCTAAGCAAAAGAGGAAAACATATTCAGGTAAAATATTTTTTCTAACTACTTAGTTATTTTCTTTTTTTTTACTATAAATTTTACATCTTTCATGAGTTAAACAGATGTTTCCACTAAGAGTTGTGTCAACTTGTGTGTGTGTGTCAAGTTCATAAGTAAGACAAACTATTAACTACAAGTGTTAAATGATTATAGGACTTAATACTTTTATGAAGTTGCTAGTGTATTAGAATATTTGAGTTTTCTATCTTTGATATAAACATTGGGCCTGAATAGAAAAATTAGCAACATATCCAAACTTATTTTTGTGCTTGCTCTCTTTCATTCTTTCTTTTTTATTAAATTAACTTCTCAAGTGCCTCAAAAATATAACAATAATAAACTATACCAGAGCACCATTAAACATGTAGCTCAAAACAGTGATTAACTGGAAGTTATAAATTATTATCCATGACATGGTAAAAACCACTATTATAATGTCAGCCATCTTTTACCTAGTTAACTTTTATGCAAATAGGCATCTGAATATCCTTTATATGATCTGAAATACAAATGATTGGTTATTTAACCTAGACTGTTAATAAAAATGTTGTAGATGTAGCATTATAGTTCATGAAAATTCACTATGAACAGCACCAATATTGCATGCTGAAAATAATAATGGATAATATTTCTAAAAGAGTTTATTCCAGGAGTAATCTCTCCTAAGAGCATCCCATACATTTGAGGGATTGAAGTCCAGTAAGCATGCATGCTACTTCATTTTAATAAGTTTGGTATGGTATAAGATGATGCTATCTCCCATTAAACAGAAGTCCAGATCAATAATACCAGCAAAGGTTCATAGGCTGTTGTCATTATGTGGAACTGTTGGTATCATTTTGTTTGAGGTAGGGTTTTTTATGTCTGCTACTTCACATACCATACTGTGCCATCACTACCATTATATGCATTATTTCTTTTTCGAAAGTACAATTTGATCTGGCTTGAGAGTATCTTCATATGAGTATATGCTGGTTATATGACTTCAGCACAGCTCATCTGTAAAAATAATGTTGCTACAATTTCAGTGGTCCACTTGATGTATTTTTGTCACCATTAGAGATGAGGTGTTTTGTGCCTTTTTGTGAGCATTATGCATCTCATTGGGTATTTAGTATACAGGTCAACGTTTTGAATCCTTTACCTGGCTTAATATTGATGTTAGGATCTACACCAGCTTCAGCTGCAGACAATCTCATATTAGGTACCATATGATTATTGTGATCCCGAAGTGAGAGCTATATGTTGTCAGCTTTTGTTGAGGATCTTCTTTGCCCACATGCCTGAAAAACTGTACTGTTGGTTTATAGGGAATTGTCATTATCACTTTGAGATGTTTATAGCAATAACATCCTGTGATTGACTAGCTTTCATACCTTCCAATGGCTTTCCTCATGAGTGAACTTCAGATAATTTATTTTGAGGTCTAGCATTAATTCACGAACAACTAGGAACACTGAGCTTTATGATTCAAGCAGTACATTTCACTTCAGAGTAATAGCTGAGACAAAATTATGTGCCTACACTACATACATACATATATGTATGTATATAGTGTAGGCTGAATGATTTGATTGATCTTCATATGCTTGATTTTCATGATAAGGGACTGTAAGCGTATCTTCATGAAATTTTGCATATTATCAGTAAACATTACATTTGTATACAAACTATCAGATTTTTTTTTTATTAAGTTTTATGATTTTTTAAGTAATGTTTTTCTCTTGCTTTTCTTCT